TGGACTGGTTGGGCAAACTCCTATGAACCTTCGAGCACCCTCTGGAGGGTGTAGAACTGGTCGAGTGTTCCACGGCCAGGACGAAAACCGCATTGTTCCCCTAGGATCCGAGGTTCAACTATTGGTCGAATTCTCCTCTCTAGTACCCTGGAACAGACTTTCCCCAGCAGGCTGAGTAGTTATTCCTCGGTAGTTGGTACACAACCTCCGGTCCCCCTTTTTAAAAGACTGCCACGCAATGTTGCAGAGATGTGTCAGCCAAGACAGCCCTGCGACATCCAGAGACTTGAGGTACTCAGGGCGGCTCTCATCCACCCCTGGCGCCCTGCCACTGAGTACCACCTCGGTGACTTTAGCGCAGGAGATGGGTGGGTCAACCACCTAGTCTTCTGCCTCTGCTTCCTCTGCGAAAGGCGTGTCAGTAGGATTGAGGAGCTCCTCGAAGTATTCCTTCCACCGCCTGACAACATCCCCAGTCGAGGACAACAGCTCCCCACATCCACTGTAAACAGTGTTGGCGGGAAACTGCTTTCCCTTCCTAAGGCGCCAGAAGGTTTGACAGAATTTCTTCGAGGCTGACCGACAGTTTTCCTCGATGGCCTCCCCGAACTTTTCCCAGACCCGGGTTTTTGCTTCTGCAACCACCTGAGCTGCAGTCAACTGGGCCTGCCTGTACCTGTCAGCTGTCTCAGGAATCCCCTGAACCAACCAGGCTTGGTAGGACTCTTTCTTTTGCTTGACGGCTTCCTTTAGCTCCGGTGTCCACCACTGGGTTCGGGGATTGCCGCCACAACAGGCACCGGAGACCTTACGACCACAGCTTCGTACAGCCGCGACAATGATGGATGAGGAGTACATGGTCCATTCAGACTCAATATCTCCAATCTCCCTCGGGACCTGGTCAAAGCTCTTCCCAAGCTGGAGTTGAAGGCCTCCCTTACAGGGGATTCCACAAGACGCTCCCAACAGACCCTCATGATACGTTTGGGTCTGCCAGGTCAGTCCAGCTTCACATCCTGCAAACTGATCCAACACACCACCAGGCGGTGATCAGTTGACAGCTCAGCCCCTCTCTTTGAGTGTCAAAGATGTATGGCCGGAGGTCAGATGACATGATTACAAAGTTGCTCATTGACCTCCGGCCTAGGGTGTCCCGGTGGCACGTGCACTGATGGACACCGTTGTGTTTGAACATGGTGTTCATTATGGACAGACTGTGGCTAGCATAGAAGTCCAATAACAAAGCACCACTCGGGTTCAGATTGGGGAGGCTGTTCCTCTAGATCACGGCCCTCCAGGTGACACTGTCATTACCCACGTGAGCGTTGAAGTCCCCCAGCAGGACAATGGAATCCCCGGGATGAGCACTGTCCAGTACCCCTCCCAGTGCCTGCAAGAAGGCCGGGTACTCTGCACTACCATTCGGCCCGTATGCCGAAGCAACAGAGAGAGACCTATCCCCGACCTGAAGGTGCAGGGAAGCGACCCTCTCGCTCAGTGGGGAGAAAGCCAACACACAGATGGCGAGCTGGGGGGCTATAAGCAAGCCTACACCAGCACGCCGCCTCTCACCACGAGCAACTCTAAAGTAAAAAGAGTCCAGCCTTTCTCGAGGAGTTGGGTCCCACAGCACAGAGTGTGCGTGGAGGTGAGCCCAACTATATCTAGCCGGTATCGTTCACCTTCCCGCACAAGTTCGGGACCCCCCCCCCAGCGAAGTGACGTTCCATGTCCCCATAGCTAGACTAGATGTCCAGGGATTGGGCTAACCCCTTGTGGGCCTTCCTGCGGGTGGTGGGCCTACTGGAAGGCGGGCCCATGTCGCTTGTTTGGGCTGAGCCCGGCAGGGTCCCATGAGCAAGACCTGGCCACCAGGCGCTCGTTCAGTATTATGACATGAGAAATTCAAAGAAACAAAATAGTCTCCTCGCCACAACACTTGGTTTTACTGCATTTTCCATTTTGTTCCTCCTATGACTCAGGCTCAGGTTTGTGACATCACAACAAAGTAATGGACTATTACAAATAGGCTGATATGGGGGTAAAATGCTGGACTGTGTTAATTAACATAGTTGTGACCTTAGGTCAGCTGTAGTAGGTCAGCTAATTAGCTCCATCAGCTACATCATCACAACATTTACTGAATACAGGCATTGGTAACAAGGCAAACAAAAGTTTCTTTTTCACCTTAGATAAAAAAAAAGATTAACTAAGAATATAAATCTTATTCTTTGATTTCTGAGCATGTTCAGGTGATTAGTAAGGGCTGACCTAAATTGTGCCTGAAGCAGAGAGGAAATTTAGCAATTGCACCTGGCTGCTATGAAGGGGATATAAAGCTTTGCAGCAGACACCTCAGAAATAAATCTACCAACTCTCTGCGGTAGTCTGGGTTAAATATCATGCTACTAATTATCAAAGCCTCTTCAAAGAGCCTTTAGGAGACTAATTAGGCGCTTCATGGTATGGAGGCACAACTTTAACAAGGAGCTTCACATCGCCTTGAAGGTGCTGCACAGAAAAAAATTTGTTGTGATTTAGTAGGATCTGTGTTGTGGGTTGTGTTCATCTTCAGGGTTGATGCTGCTTTACTATGGCTGCTGATGCTAAAAGACCTGTAGAGAGGAGCCTTAATTTGAACAGGCTGCGGGAAGGAGCTGGCATATTCCTGACAAACACTCATTATGACTACAAAGATTTGGCATTCATTTAAAAACAAGTCATTTTATGTTCTTAATTATACTGTAGCACTATTTGTGCAAAAGCCACCAAGAACCCAGAAAGAATGTTTGATATAATTAATACTTTTATCTCCATAAAACATGAAAAGATGCAATATTAACTAGTAAGACTCTTGATTTGAAATTGATTTTCTCTGAAATTCTCTGGTATGTGAAGAAATAAGCAAAAGAACGTCAGATTGTGACTCTTGGATGTTACGATCAGGTTTTAGAGCAGTGGTAGGGTATGTACAACCAGATAGGACCCATCTGTTTTTCCTGCATGAGGTAAACCTGGCTAGGACACTTTACTCCTAAAGTGCCCATCATTCCCTGGCTCTGGCTGGTCCCAAGCCCAGAGAAATGGGTTGCAAATGGGTTGAGGGTTGCATTAGGTTAGACATCTGGCATAAAAACAACTGTGCCAACTTCTCTACAAACAACCTCTTTAAAAACACTTCACCTCAAGAAACCTGTTTCTACCTCTTTGTTTAACCTTTCTCTTTTGTTAGCTTTCTGGTATCATCTCTTGTGTTAACAGGTCAGTTTTGACCCATGTATTAAATCAGCTATAAAATAGACTAAAAAGACAAGTTATCATCCAATTTGTTTCTCATCTCTTGGTTACCTTGTTTGGCTTCCTTATCCATAAAAATATTGGTTTTAATACTTTTGGTGTGGGCCTCTGGGCCTTTTTTTGTCAGTATACCCCTCGATTTTAATTTTTTTTAAAAATGGTAAAATGAACCTCAAGAGAATCATATTAATAAATAAAAGGATGTTATGTTACTTGACTATTACTGAGGGGTATAGAACACATCTCTTAAATACATTTGTTTTATTTATTTTTTTCATTTTAATATCAATAACTAAAGTGACATCTATGGTGTTACGGGTCAATTTTGACCCATATATATTTACATCAAGAAAAGGCAAAAAAAAGTATTTTTTCAGCAATAGAATTGCACTCATCTCTCCCAGACATCCCTGATTGGAGCAAGCTTGTCAGATCTCGCTCTGGTCTCTCTG